GCTAGCTTCAAATAAAAACTTAATGAAGAAATGAATATACATGGATAATGAATCAACCCATTATGAAAAAAAATTGATGATCGAAGTGTGCAAGTATGTTGCTGTACGTGGAGAGGAAAACAGGACGTAATTCGAAAATCGCTAGTGACGTGTTCCTCAGTCGAGAAAGACGACGTATAAGTTAGCTCGAGTTTCCATGTTGTTTATCTAAATGATAAATTTCTTTTCGTCAGAGTAATGGGACAAAGACTTCAAGCGGACAACCCAATCATTGGCAAATGAAGCGCAGTTTCCGCATAGAACTGATGAAGGCTCAGTTTTTTCTAGGGCCAAGGACAAGTATTGAGCTTTTTGGGAAGAAAATGTTTCTTTTGTAATTAAAGTGGTAACCTTACATTTGAGTTTTAATCATGATAACTGATCCAAAGATGTTTGAATTTTCCAGACAAGTTCATAACTTTTCGAATTCGAATTCGCCTCGACTTCTTATTTCACAAACGAAAACTATGCCCCATGAGTCAGAAGAGGGATCTAGAGTTATCATCATCACAAATGACATCTTAACAATTTTTCCATACCATTACCTTTGTCGAGCTTTGCCAGGAAAGGATGAAATATACAAGTGGAAACTGGATGAATCTTGGCCGCACGCCAACACTGAGAGAAGTAAACCAAATAGATTTAGAAGGAACCGCCCATCAGAACAAACTAACTGTCACGGACCGTTATGCATGGTCAATTCAAAGTTAATGCTCAACTACCGTAAACTGATGTCCAGTCGCCGAAAAAAATCCTTTTTAGTAAGTGATCGGTAGCTTTTACCCTCTGGTACGGTGGAAAAAGACAGGTTCGTTTATTTGAAGGGGAGATATTGATCTCGATGACTACTCTTCTTTAACCGAATCACTCAAGTAACCGTAGCGTGGATAATTTCGTATGACATGTTGCGTATGTAAACACATTTCGATTGTCGACTGCGGAAATGCCGCATAATTTTAGGTACCTTCATCTTCTTTCAACCTTTGATAGGATTAAGGAAAGTAACTCAGAGGAACAGCATGGTTTCTCTTAGAGTTCTGGCTGAAAGTTATAACTCAGGATAACAATACCGTCCACTATAGCTGCCTGCGGTTATCGTGAGTCCCTCAGTTGAGACCAAGAAGCTGCGAGAACTTCAATTAGAATGCAAGAATGTATCTGCTGTCAGTTGTTGAAACGAAAGGCTTGAACAGTAATTGGTGACAGGTCAGAAATGGAATCAAAGCGAAAAGCACGAACTAAATAATAATATAATAATATTGGAATTGTAATATAGCATATTTTATTTTATTTTAGCTTATTTTCTCGAAGATATTAGCTCTACAACTACAATGTGAATTTCGAGCTTGAATAAAGTATATGTATGTATGTATGTATGTATGTATGCAAGTGTAGTTTACCGGAAGTGGAAATAGGGTATACTGTTATCCTAATAAGTAGTTTGATATTATGGGATGCAATCACAGAGAAACCTCGTGCTTGAGAAGGGAGTAAAAAAAATACAAATGAACGAGTTCATGTGTTGCGTAATAACAAAGCTGTTCTGCTGCTTTCTGGTCTTGAACCAAACACACCACATTTGGCGATAAGGAAAACGGATAGTTGAATCGCCGAGCGGCTGCTGAAGTGGACACGAGTTTAAACAGTGGATAAAACTCAAACAAATGGCTGTATGTTTAAGTGGATTGCCAGGATTGCCCGTGTTCGACGCTATCGGCGAACCAGCGACACTTGCACAACGTTGAATTACATGGAGAGCTGAATTCGAACTGTATGTCACTGCTTCGGGGATTAGCGACCCAA